AGGGGACAGGGCCCTTGGCGAGGCACCCAGCACCCCACAGGTGCCCAAAGGAGGCCAGCCCCATGGCATTATTTAGGCACATGCTTTGGACCTGGACAACTCCTAAGTCCAGTCCTGGACTTCCTACTTGGTGCTCAGAGCCCCTAACAAAGCCAGGTCCCCCTCCGGCCTGTTTCCAGAGCACTTGACTTGGGTTAATCCCTCTATCTGGTGGGGCCGTTGAGACAGTGACTAGTAACAGTGGTGAGGTGTGGCTAGGACAGAGACAAAGGCTGTCCGCTAGGAAACGCCTAGGGCAGGCAAGGATGACCAGCGTTTACAGTGGTCACCAGGGGCGAGTGGGAGGGAGGGGAGATGTGCCGTGAAAGGCGGTAGGAAAACCAGGAAGTGGATGATGGTAACAGCTGCACAACAGTTCAAACATGACTGAGGTCATGAGCTGCCCAGGGGAGGAAGGGTGAGATGGGAAAGGGCGGCCACGCCACGACCGCACTCCGACACAGCTGGGTCACGAGGCAGTACTGTTCATGCCACTGCTTTCTGTCTTATTTTGAAGCACTTGTTCTTAAAAGGAACTCAGAGATGGTGGGGAGGAACTGAAGCCACGGCTGCTGGTACCAGGCATCAGCGGGGTTAGTGGAGGCAGACGTCCTCACTTTATAGAGGAGGCTGGGCCTGGACAGGTGAACCGACTCCCCTGCACCACAGGACTGGTTCCGTCAGTTTCTCGCCCAGGTCAGAGCTAAGAGGCGCCCTGGGGGCACAGTGTTTAGGCACTTGGCCACTAACTGAAAGGTTGGAGGTTCCAAGCCCCTCCACGGGAGAAAGATGAGACAGCTGGCTTGCATAAAGATGACAGCCTTGGAAACTCTGTGGGGCAGTTCTACTCTGTCCTCTAGGGGCGCTGTCAGTCGGAATCGATGAGAATGGGTTTGGTTTTTTTGGGGAGGGGGAGATCCAGAGCTAAGGAGCAGGGGCTGAGTCTCAGTTGGCTGGTAATGGCACCCCGCACTGCCCCAAGCAGGGCTCAGTTAGGGGGACCTAGGGACATCCCCCTACAGGTGCCAAGCCGTACCTGGTTCCTGTTGAATTCCTTCACGGTTGCACACACTGCCTTCCTAGCAGAGGTCTCTAGTTTCTGGAGGTGCTGGGCTGTGTGGTCAAGCCGTAGCCGCGTCTCTGTGTGCAGGGCCTCTGAAAGGGGGACGGTGCTCAGCTCAGCAGGGCACCCTGCAGGGCCACTCACACGTTCCTCTCCCATCACATCTCATCCCCAAGAACGGGGACAGCAAGAGTGACCCTTCTTACCTGTAGCTGTTATGAGTTAGCACAGCCCATTCTAACACAGCTTATAACAGGTGCCTGGCACTCACAAGCATCAGCGTGGGCTGGGACCACTATGGGTCGGAAGTGCGAGGAAGCGGCTGTCGTGAGAATGAACGGGTGACAGGCAGCACAGTAGGTGACAAGGCCAGACTGGGAGGGCTTGTAGGGCCTTGGACTGAATTTAGCTTAGACTCTGAGTGAATGGGAAACTGCTGAAGGGTTTTGAACAAAGGATTTGACTTCTAACAGGATCACTCTGGCTTCTGGGTTGAGAAGACTGTAGTGGGATGTGAGTAGAAGCAAGGAGACTGGTTAGTTGGTGAGTTAGATGTTCTTAGCTCATGCAGAGTGGTACTGGTGGAGGTGGTGAAAAATAGGTGAAATGTGAGAGGATTTGCTGCTGGCTGTGGTGTGGCATTTGAGAGAGAGAAGGGACTCCAGATGGCTTGGGGATGGAAGACGGGCGCCTGGATGAAGGGAAGGTCATTGGTGGAGATGCGAAGTCATGTTTTGTGAGATCAGGAGTATGTTTGTCATACACCCAAAAGGGGGACGACATCCACACACACAGTTGGATTCACAAGAGGATTCAGGGAGGAGTCCAGCCTGGAGAAATGAATTGGGGAAATGACGTCCTAACGGTATTGAAAGCCAGGGAACTAGATGTGATCACCAAGGGAGGGGTGCAGTGGCTAGAGGACGGTCCAGAGAACACTGGTGACAACAACATCGAGAGGTTCAGAAGACGCCCAAAAACCAACCAAGGAGCCTGGGAGCAGAGGGCCAGGATGGGCAGCATCTTGGGAGCCAAAATGAATGCTGGTGTATTTCAAGGGGGAGGAGCCGGTCAGCTGTCCCATGGGCCAACTGGTTGAGAGGAAGACTGATAACCGACCTCAGATTGGGCAACGTGGAGGTCACTGATGATCTTGGCCACAGCAGGTGCCGAGGAGGGGTGAGGGCAGAAGTTTGGTGGGACTGGGGTCAGAGGGCATGAGAGAAGATGATTCAGAAACACTGCTCGTGGCAAGTAGTGGGGAGAGAAGAGGACCTTCAGCAGGCTCTGACCTTCCGGACTTTAGAAGCCAGGCTGGGAGGAAGGTGAGCTGCCTGGGAGACAGGATGAAACCACCACAGGGGAGTGCTCTGAAGGGGACAGGCTTCCTGTCCCAGCTCCCCGGCTCCGGAGGGGACGGGCATCGCTTCCTGTCCCAGCTCCGGCTCCGGAGGGGATGGGTGTCGCTTCCTGTCCCAGCTCCCTGGTTTATCTTTCTTGTGGCTCCTCCTGGCTTTTCCTTACCCATTCAGCTCCATGTGAGCAGGGAGTTGGTCTTCTTCACTGCTGTGCCTCCCAGCCATCAGCGTGCCTGACAGAGGAAGGAGCCAGGGGCTCAGGGCTGCTGAGAGGACATGTCAGTCAGGACTGGCCTTGGTGGAAGCAGGATTTAGTGACTGCTTGCAGTTCCCTCAAGGAGAAGGACTATTTCATGGCCCAGAGCCTTTGCCTGAGAGAATTCCTTGGACTGAAGTGTCGGTGTGAGGCTGCGTGGTCACCTTCCCCTTGGTGGTACCCGTGTCCCCTGTCGGGACTTGTATCACAGGACCTGGGACACTGAGCTGGGCCCAGGTATTTCCCTTTTGTCTTCCCCAGCAGACTGGGAAGACTTTCAGGATGGAGACGTTCTGAGTCACCTTGGCATTCCAGCACCTCACTGGGCCCCAACAGAGAGTGCACCATCAAAAAGAGGTTCCTGGGTGACCGGTGTGTGGCTGGAGAAGTTTAATTACTGGTGTGTGAGCTGCTGCCATCTCCTATCTCCTCACGTGGTCTCTGCACCATGTAGCTGCACACATTAGTATGATCTCAAAGACCCAGGCGGTTTGGTGGTAGATGGCAGGCTTTCCTTGTGTGAAGAATGGGAATTCCAAAACACTTAATTGCGTTCATGAGGAACCTGTACCTAGACCAAGAGGCTGTCATTTGAACAGAACAAGGAGATATTGCATGGTTTCGAATCAGGAAAGGTGTATGTCAGGGTTGTATCCTTTCACCATATTTATTCAATCTGTCTGCTGAGCAAAAAGTCCGAGAAAGAGGACTATATGAAGAACACGGCATCAAGATGGAGGAAGACTCATTACCAACCTGCAACGTGCAGATGCCACAACCTTGCTTGTTGAAAGCGAAGAGGACTCAAAGCAGTTACTAATGAAGATTAAAGACTACAGCCTTCAATATGGATTACACCTCAACAT